AGAACGGCCTTTGAGTTCCACTTTTGTGGAAATACGGCTAAAACCAGCGGCTGAAACCGTCGTAAAAAATTACATTAGGATGGCCGCTCTCAGGTTTCTCTCTGATATTAGTAATAAATCAGAAGTCAGAAGCAAGAAATTGACGAATCACAGTCAAATCAAAGAAGAATAATCGATTATGATTAGTCAAATTCTTGCTTCTGACTTCTGATTTATTACTAATATCTTATTGTAGAAGGGCCTTAAGTGTAAGCGTCTAAAGCAAATGCACTACGTTTTTTGTACGACAAAATTTTTTAAGCGTATTCATTGGTTACAGAATAAAGAAATTCTTGAATTTCTAGTATTTTTCTATTCTAGGCACTGAACTCTATATACACTGGAATGCGCATCTCCATCTAACAAGCATAGCGAGACGTGGCACAAATTGATCAACGCCAGTTTTGTTTGGCCTGGTATTTGAGCAAATCAGAAGCGCGTTCCACGCGCGGTCCCGCTACAAGTTAGCGACATGAGATGCTGTGTGCCCGGGTGTGGGCAGAGAAGTGAAAAGAAGATTTCATCTCATAGGTAAGGATTTTAGTGTGAAATATATCAGTTGCGTGTATTAACAACAATGTAGGATGAAAATTGTTAGGTTAGGTTAGGATGTTGTAGATAGAAATAATATTTTTTATTGCTCACATTCTTACATACTTTTTATTTTTAATTGCTTAAATATTTACATATCTTTTATATAGATTTCCAGTGAAAGACCCGAATCGAACTCAACAATGGATTTATAGAATATATGCGTTTTTGGAAATGCATAATTGTAAACCAGAAAGCTTAAAAGAGACAAAAAAATCTGTTTTATGTTCCAAACATTTCCTTAATAGCGATTACCTTGTTATAACAAGTAGCCGTATGTTATATAAATAAAGAATTTTGTTCATACTCCAACATCCTGTATTTGACTTCATATCGGCCCATTTCCAAATATTTTTTGACTATTTACATTTATTGCATTTTTTTATAATTGAAATGAAAGTGTATCGAATTGTATTGAATTGTATTTATAATTGAAATTGTATTGAATGAATTTTTGCAATGATTGAATTTTTTATAATTTGCATTTTTTTAATAATTAAAATAATGAAAATAAAACCATTTTGTTTGAAGATACAATGATATTTTGTAACAAGCGCGCGTGTACTTTGTGCCTTTTTTACTATTTTAAAAACGGTAGGTTTTTACATTGTATTAATAGACAAATTTATACTTATATCGTATTAACGAGCAAAAGTCCTTTTATACATATTTGTTTATTAATTTTACGTAATTTTCTTACTACAAATTCCTGAAGAAACTTTTTCTATTTTGTTACTTTTTCATCTCCGTCATTCACATTCCCTGACGAAAATGAGAAGTTTTATAAACGTTTACTTGACGGTTGTATGAGCGTTTTGTGGAAGTTCGTAGAAAATTTTGAAACGCTCAATAAAAAGTTCATAAAGCGGAAATTGCAACGCTACAGCGTTTGAAAGGCGTTTGTATAAAGCGTTTCTGAAAGTTTGCATAGTGTTTACGTTAAGCGTGAGACAAAACAAAATAGTTTATTAAGTTAAATACATCTACAACTTCAATAAAAGAATTTTTCGCGACTTGCGCTTTCACACACCTAAGAAATTTTACTTGAAATAATTTTTGGAAGCCCGGTTCAGCTCGCCAATCAACCGATAAATTCCATTAAAACGGACCGGACCTGAAAAAATCCTAGGTTGATAGCGGGATTCGAACTCGATACGTCTCCGTCGTATTCGCAGCACCTGCACTCAGTCCGCAAGACTACTTGTTTCTTACTAAAATGTGATTATTTTTATCTACTTATTCTCAAGGTATCTTATACGGTTTATTTATTATTTCTTTAAAATATTATTTTATTAAAAAGTGCAGTGCAATGTACCTGCAATGGGTAAAAATATTT